CCATATTTTAGCCCTTCTGCCATTTATTCACATTCCAATCATTAATTTCACATCAGCAGTGACACGTAAGAGTCCTCCGCAGTTGATACATAATTTACTTACCCCAGAAATAAAATGGGTCATTATACTAATCCTTGAGGGACGCCGCTAGTTTACCCAAGGCTGATGTAGATAAATGGTTCAGAGAACCGACACGTTGATAAATTAGACACATGTGCGACACTTCCATAGTTAAGATACCCTAGAGTGGTTTTTTTACACGGTATTTTACAAGATTAGGTTAAGGTTCGTAACTTTATTTACAAGTTAAGAGCTGTTACATACATCATCAGCTCACTTGAAAGTATTTTTATTTTGAGACATACGAAACAGGAAGAAGTTGGAACCATCTATGGGTCAGCAGTTTCATTTGATCAACTATATTTCGCTGATATCGCGTTGCACATGTCTAATTTATCACCAAGGATGATAATTTCTTATTCGTCATTACTGTTTTTATTATCATTCCTATACCCCTTAAACAACTACGGTACTTTCCCCTTATCCCTGTGTTCTCGTTGAGCTTATGTGTAAGATTCTGCTTGAGCCCAGTGTTACAGTCTATAAATGTCTGTAAATATGTAGGCCGCCCACCTTTGCCCTATTTGATCTCCCTGAGGCTCTCATAAATCTCCAGGGGAGGCAATTTTGGCATGGTGAATCCATCCTGATTCTGCGTAACCAACCTGTCACTCCAGGTGATCAAGCAGTCTGTTTCTGATTATGTTGCCTTTCGTTTGAAACAAGCAAGGTATGGCTGTGTGAGTGTGTGTGTGTGTGTGTGTAAGAGTAACTCACAATCGTGAGGTACAGTGTTACTGTTGATATTTTTTAAGTCAGCAGTGTTGTGTAGTGCTGGGAGAGTGAAGTCAGCAGTGTTGTGTAGTGCTGGGAGAGTGAAGTCAGCAGTGTTGTGTAGTGCTGGGAGAGTGAAGTCAGCAGTGTTGTGTAGTGCTGGGAGAGTGAAGTCAGCAGTGTTGTGTAGTGCTGGGAGAGTGAAGTCAGCAGTGTTGTGTAGTGCTGGGAGAGTGAAGTCAGCAGTGTTGTGTAGTGCTGGGAGAGTGAAGTCAGCAGTGTTGTGTAGTGCTGGGAGAGTGAAGTCAGCAGTGTTGTGTAGTGCTGGGAGAGTGAAGTCAGCAGTGTTGTGTAGTGCTGGGAGAGTGAAGTCAGCAGTGTTGTGTAGTGCTGGGAGAGTGAAGTCAGCAGTGTTGTGTAGTGCTGGGAGAGTGAAGTCAGCAGTGTTGTGTAGTGCTGGGAGAGTGAAATCAACCTTAGTGTAGCTCGGGTATCTCTACTGGTCAAGGACTCCTAATACAAGGTACCGGAGCTACCCCATACTTTCCTCGGGTCAAACCTGATTACCACCACACATTCAGACATATAACCCCAACAGATTTAGCAGTTTTTCCGTGACTATCATCATAATGATGATAACTAACGCAGGTCAGCATATATAAGTGTACTAATCATCTTTTTTAGAAGTAATTGAGTGACTTACGTGTCTGTTACGCAGGATATACCCCAGGAAATTATTTTTATCCTTGAGGCGATTATATTCTTACTGAGATGTGATAAGTTCCTTATTGGTAGTAAGCGGAAAGGGATTAATATACTGCAGTGTCCATTATCACTTGATTTGCATAGATAAGTAAGTAATTTTTGTGTGATAAAGTCACCTACGCCTATGATAGTTTGTTTAGGTACACAGTAGTACAATATCATACCTGGTAAGATAAGATAAGATAAGATAAGATAAGATTTCGTTCGGATTTTTAACCCCGGAGGGTTAGCCACCCAGGATAACCCAAGAAAGTCAGTGCGTCATCGAGGACTGTCTAACTTATTTCCATTGGGGTCCTTAATCTTGTCCCCCAGGATGCGACCCACACCAGTCGACTAACACCCAGGTACCTATTTGCTGCTAGGTGAACAGGACAACAGGTGTAAGGAAACGTGTCGAATGTTTCCACCCGCCGGGAATCGAACCCGGGCCCTCCGTGTGTGAAGCGGGAGCTTCAGCCACCAGGCCACCGGGCCACATATGCAATAAGATCACAGTAAACAGTTGGTATCACAATACGCAAAATAACCACTGTGAAAAAAAATAGTGAATTTCCAAGAGCTTTCGTGATTTCTCACAGTTCCTTAATAATGTGGTAAATCACGAAAGTGCTTGGAAATTCACTATTATTTTTACAGTGGTTATTTTCTGGGTTATCTTCTGCAATTTACAAACGTAAATAATTTACGCACGTAAATGTTGGTAGAATTACCCACAATATGTTAGTAAAGGAACACAAGTGCAACTAATGTGACATTTTACTGTGGCAACGTTTCGCTCACCAGAAGCTTTATCAAGCTCCTGGTTTCACCTGCGTCCTTGTTTTCCTTAACAATTTACACATATGTTACGAGGTATAAAAAATACCTACAGTGAAAAATAGGAAAGGCACCTGAGCGCTTTCATGTGCTCACACATCCTCTGGGGATGTGTACGTAAGCACACAGGTGTTAATACGTTTATTTATGCACAGGTACACAGAGGTACAATTATCATACATAGTGTAAATTACCAAGGATACCCCCTCCCCCCCCCCCAAAAAAAAAAGGTCAGAGTGACAGTGCGGCTCTATTTTCACTGTGGTATTTTGTATATCTGTATTCACGCCTTTATATAATGATTGGGGAGCGCTAAACCCGTAGGATTATACAGCACATGTGTGGGGGGGAGGAGATGGAAGGTATTCAGGCTTAATTTAGGGAACACTGAGCACAGATCCAATTCCCTAGATCAAGAGCCCCTCGCCAGCGTCAAGGAACGTCCCTTGAGGGGCATTCACGCCTTTAGTGTCATATCTACACGTAACAAGGTATGATAGTTGTGCTTATGTCTACCTGAATAAGCTTACAGGTCGTGGAGAGGGTGTAGGTGTTGCTGGGGGTGGGGGTGTAGGTGTTGCTGGGGTGGGGGTGTAGGTGTTGCTGGGGTGGGGGTGTAGGTGTTGCTGGGGGTGGGGGTGTAGGTTTGCTGGGGATGGGGATGTAGGTGTTGCTGGGGATAGGGGTGTAGGTGTTGCTGGGATAGGGGTGTAGGTGTTGCTGGGGATGGGGTGTAGGTGTTGCTGGAGATGGGGGTGTAGGTGTTGCTGGGGGTGGGGGTGTAGGTGCTGCTGGGGTGGGGGTGTAGGTGTTGCTGGGGTGGGGGTGTAGGTGCTGCTCGGGTGTAGGTTCTGCTGGGAGTGTAGGTGCTGCTGGGGATGGGGGTGTAGGTATTGCTGGGATGGGGTGTAAGTATTGCTGGGGGTGGGGGTGTAGGTGTTGCTGGGGTGGGGGTGTAGGTGTTGCTGGCGATGGGGGTGTAGGTGTTGCTGGGGGTGGGGGTGTAGGTGTTGCTGGGGATAGGGGTGTAGGTGTTGCTGGGATGGGGTGTAGGTGTTGCTGGGGATAGGAGTGTAGGTGTTGCTGGGATAGGGGTGTAGGTGTTGCTGGGGATGGGGATGTAGGTGTTGCTGGGTGTGGGGGTGTAGGTGTTGCTGGGGTGGGGGTGTAGGTGCTGCTGGGGTGTAGGTGTTGCTGGGGATGGGGTGTAGGTGTTGCTGGGGATGGGGGTGTAGGTGTTGCTGGGGATGGTGTAGGTGCTGCTGGGGGTGTAGGCGTTGCTGGGATGGGGGTGTAGGTGCTGCTGGGGGTGTAGGCGTTGCTGGGATGGGGTGTAGGTGTTGCTGGGGATGGGTGTAGGTGCTGCTGGGATGGGGGTGTAGGTGCTGCTGGGGATTGGGTGTAGGTGCTGCTGGGGTGTAGGTGCTGCTGGGGATGGGGGTGTAGGTGCTGCTGGGGGTGTAGGCGTTGCTGGGGATGGGGGTGTAGGTGCTGCTGGGGTGTAGGTGCTGCGGGGGTGTAGGTGCTGCTGGGGGTGTAGGTGCTGCTGGGGATCGGGGTGTAGGTGCTGCTGGGGATCGGGGTGTAGGTGCTGCTAGGGTGTAGGTGTTGCTGGGGATGGGTGTGTAGGTGCTGCTGGGGTGTAGGTGCTGCTGGGGATCGGGGTGTAGGTGCTGCTAGGGGTGTAGGTGTTTCTGGGGATGGGGGTGTAGGTGCTGCTGGGGGTGTAGGTGTTGTTGGGGGTGTAGGTGTTGCTGGGGTGTAGGTGCTGCTGGGGGTGTAGGTGCTGCTGGGGATCGGGGTGTAGGTGCTGCTAGGGTGTAGGTGTTTCTGGGGATGGGGGTGTAGGTGCTGCTGGGGGTGTAGGTGTTGCTGGGGATGTAGGTGTTGCTGGGGGTGTAGGTGCTGCTGGGGGTGTAGGTGCTGCTGGGGATCGGGTGTAGGTGCTCTTAGGGGTGTAGGTGTTGCTGGGGATGGGGTGTAGGTGTTGCTGGGGGTGTAGGTGTTGCTGGGGGTGTAGGTGTTGCTGGGGGTGTAGGTGTTGCTGGGGGTGTAGGTGCTGCTGGGAATCGGGGTGTATGGCGGCTCTCTCAGTGTAGTCAAAGTCCTGACAGGAAACATTTGTTTGGGAAAGTAAAAGACCATTAAATCAAGTTTAATACAATTTTTTATCCCTTAATATATTTGTGAGATCTTCAGATCATCTCCTGGTCTCCTCTTTGGGAAGCTGTAAACACACTGGACGCTTGTGTTTGTAAACAAATTGAGTGTAATAAGGAATGCAGGTTTTATCATAGAAAATGGTAAACTAGAGATGGTAGTAGCAGGGAACCCCAGCGCTGGTGCAGCACTGCCAGACCTCGTCATCACCTCCTGCCTGACGCACGAATATAACCCTCAACTCCACTTACAGATACTATGTATTTCCTTTTTCTTTCCACATTATTCAACAGGTTCAATAACCTACTGTTTATAACACTCACTACCTTTAAAAATGTACGTGTTTAATATATTAATGTTAGGAATGTGAGCGTACGAGCGCTTGCAAGGTACGTGAAACAGGTTTGGAGTTTCACGGACAAACTGGCTTTAGTTAGGAATTGACTGTTCCGGTGGATTCTATACGTCTTCTCCAGCGTTTTTGTGCTAAACTATTGCTAGTTTTGTAATAACAAAGAGGTTTTAGCTATGTTTGTGTAACTGTGGAGTGTTGCTTGACGGTGTGAGGCGCCTCAGTGGAAGTGTGAGTGAATTACCAGGATAAATATTTGGTGGGAGTTCAAATCACTTAAGTGTATAGTGTGTATCGGGGCGGCTTTGTTAAGTGCCCTTCCCTTGTGAGCGAGCGGTGGTCAGACTTCCCTTGTGAGCGAGCGGTGGTGAGACTCTTCCCTTGTGAGCGAGCTGTGGTGAGACCCTAACCTTGTGAGCAAGCGGTGGAGAGAACCTCCCCTTGTGAGCGAGCGGTGTAGAAACCCTCCCCTTGTGAGCAAGCGGTGGAGAGACTGTACCCTTGTAAACGAGTGGTAGACTCTCCTCTTGTGAGCGGTGGAGAGGAAAACTCCCCTTGTGAGCAAGCGGTGGATAGACCCTACCCTTGTGAGCGAGCGGTGGAGAGACCCTACCCTTGTGAGCGAGCGGTGGAGAGAGGCAGCCAGGTCCTGCTAGGATGCCTTCATGACAGCCACAGGTGTTGCTGATGACCTAGCATGCTCCACTAGGCTATGTGACACAGGTGTCATGTATACCAGAGGTCATCATCCAGTGTCACAATTATAGTGGACGCATGTAGTGTGTCGTCACCATGTGGAGGAGTAACAGTCATGATGACGTCCTGGACTCCAAACCCAGATATAAACGGTAAGATATTAGCAGTCTTGTGATGAATAATGATTTAGGCTCCTTCATGCTGGTTAGGAAGGTTCCTTCATGCTGGTCAAGGAGGCTCCTTCATGCTGGTCAAGGAGGTTCCTTCATGCTGGTCAAGGAGGCTCCTTCATGCTGGTCAAGGAGGTTCCTTCATGCTGGTCAAGGAGGCTCCTTCATGCTGGTCAAGGAGGTTCCTTCATGCTGGTCAAGGAGGCTCCTTCATGCTGGTCAAGGAGGTTCCTTCATGCTGGTCAAGGAGGTTCCTTCATGCTGGTCAAGGATGATCCTTCATGCTGGTCAAGGAGGATCCTTCATGCTGGTCAAGGAGGATCCTTCATGCTGGTCAAGGAGGCTCCTTCATGTTGGTCAAGGAGGCTCCTTCATGCTGGTCAAGGAGGATCCTTCATGCTGGTCAAGGAGGATCCTTCATGCTGGTCAAGGAGGATCCTTCATGCTGGTCAAGGAGGATCCTTCATGCTGGTCAAGAAGGATCCTTCATGCTGGTCAAGGAGGCTCCTTCATGCTGATCAAGGAGGCTCCTTCATGCTGGTCAAGGAGGCTCCTTCATGCTAGTCAAGGAGGATCCTTCATGCTGGTCAAGGAGGCTCCTTCATGCTAGTCAAGGAGGTTCCTTCATGCTGGTCAAGGATGATCCTTCATGCTGGTCAAGGATGATCCTTCATGCTGGTCAAGGAGGCTCCTTCATGCTGGTCAAGGAGGATCCTTCATGCTGGTCAAGGAGGATCCTTCATGCTGGTCAAGGAGGATCCTTCATGCTGGTCAAGAAGGCTCCTTCATGCTGGTCAAGGAGGCTCCTTCATGCTGATCAAGGAGGATCCTTCATGCTGATCAAGGAGGCTCCTTCATGCTGGTCAAGGAGGCTCCTTCATGCTAGTCAAGGAGGATCCTTCATGCTGGTCAAGGAGGATCCTTCATGCTAGTCATGGGGTCTCAATTAAGAAATGGAACCTATGCATCAATTTTTCGAATCAAGTCTAAATACCTTCTATTCCCGAGGCGCTGTATGACCCCTGTAGGTTTAGCGCACCCACATGAATAATATATATATATATATATATATATATATATATATATATATATATATATATAATTTATATATATATATATATATATATATATATATATAATATAATATATATAAATATATATATATATATAATATAACTGCATTGCAAAGCCCATTTAATAAAATAATAATTTACACAAGTGATATTGGTGTTTTATCACTAGAAAAAACAAATTCCACAACAAATAACTATTTTTCTCACGGGATAGATTGGCAGACATCTGTCCGTGGGAGGGGGGATTGGCAGACTTCTGTCCCGTGGGAGGGGGGATTGGCAGACTACTGTCCCGTGGGAGGGGGGATTGGCAGACTTCTGTCCCGTGGGAGGGAGGATTGGCAGACTTCTGTCCCGTGGGAGGGGGGATTGGCAGACTTCTGTCCCGTGGGAGGGTGGGATTGGCAGACTTCTGTCCCGTGGGAGGGGGGATTGGCAGACTTCTGTCCCGTGGGAGGGGGGATTGGCAGACTTCTGTCCCGTGGGAGGGGGATTGGCAGACTTCTGTCCCGTGGGAGGGGGGATTGGCAGACTCTGTCCCGTGGGAGGGGGGATTGGCAGACTTCTGTCCCGTGGAGGGGGATTGGCGAACTTCTGTCCCGTGGGAGGGGGGATTGGCAGACTTCTGTCCCGTGGGAGGGGGATTGGCAGACTTCTGTCCCGTGGGAGGGGGGATTGGCAGACTTCTGTCCCGTGGGAGCGGGATTGGCAGACTTCTGTCCCGTGGGAAGGGGGTTTGGCAGACTTCTGTCCCGTGGAAGGGGGGATTGGCAGACTTCTGTCCCGTGGGAAGGGGTTTGGCAGACTTCTGTCCGTGGAAGGGGGATTGGCAGACTTCTGTCCCGTGGGGGGGGGTTGGCAGACTACTGTCCCGTGGGAGGGGGGATTGGCAGACTTCTGTCCCGTGGAGGGGGGATTGGCAGACTTCTGTCCCGTGAGAGGGGGGATTGGCAGACTTCTGTCCCGTGGGAAGGGGGGATTGGCAGACTTCTGTCCCGTGGTAAGGGTGGATTGGCAAACTTCTGTCCCGTGGGAAGGGGGGATTGGGCAGACTTCAGTCCCGTGGGAGGGGGGATTGGCAGACTTCTGTCCCGTGGGAAGGGGGGATTGGCAGACTTCTGTCCCGTGGGAAGGGGGGATTGGCAGACTTCTGTCCCGTGGGAAGGGGGATTGGCAGACTTCTGTCTCGTGGGAGGGGGGATTGGCAGACTTCTGTCCCGTGGGAAGGGGGATTGGCAGACTTCTGTCTCGTGGGAGGGGGGATTGGCAGACTTCTGTCCCGTGGGAGGGGGGATTGGCAGACTTCTGTCCCGTGGGAAGGGGGGATTGGCAGACTTCTGTCCCGTGGGGGGGTTGGCAGACTACTGTCTCGTGGGAGGGGGTATTGGCAGACTTCTGTCCCTGTGGGAGGGGGTATTGGCAGACTTCTGTCCCGTGGAAGGGGGTATTGACAGACTTCTGTCCCCGTGGAAGGGGGTATTGACAGACTTCTGTCCCCGTGGGAGGGGGTATTGGCAGACTTCTGTCCCGTGGAAGGGGGTATTGACAGACTTCTGTCCCCGTGGAAGGGGGTATTGACAGACTTCTGTCCCCGTGGAAGGGGGTATTGACAGACTTCTGTCCCTGTGGGAGGGGTATTAGCAGACTTCTGTCCCTGTGGGAGGGGGGTGGGGGTCATTTACCAATGACCTGAATTACTGCAAAAATTATCGTGGAAGATTGACGTGAGGAAGAGTAACAGACTCCAGGAAAAATCGACGATGCTGTGTTCGTTAGCAGCATCTTAACGTAATGTTTGGCTTAGTGTATTAGAGGAGTCAATGACATAATGAAGCACTGCGTTAGGCCTGCTAGGCCATATACTAGGCAAATTTGTATCCACCACTCCCACTCGACCAGTCCCACTCATACCATGTATGGGAAGAAGTATTTAGGTAATTACTCCTGCCTCTGCTGCAATTTATTATTGCTAGGTTCATTGTTTCGCTGTTGTAGGTATTGTTGACTGTTGCGATTACTACAGCTGTTATTGTTGCTACTGTAGAAGGTATTACTGCTGTTGTAGCAGTTATTGCTCTTGCTGTAACAGTTATTACGTCTGCTGTAGCAGCTCTTGTTGCTGCTGTAGCAGTTATTGCTCCTGCTGTGGAAGTTATTGCTAATACTGCATCAGTTATTGCTGCTGTCGTATCAGGTAATGCGAATACTGTATCAGTTGTTGGTGCTGCTTTTGTAAATGTAGCATTTCTGCTGTTGTAGTTCCTACAACAGCAGAGCTGCTACATTTTTTTCTGAAGTAGTTCCTACCATTTATGCTTAGTTCTTACCATTTCTTAGTTCTTACCATTTCTTAGTTCTTACCATTTCAACTGTTACAGTTCCTGCTATTTCTGCTGCATGTGTCATGATTGTTCTGCTACTTCCATTGCAGTTACTGCTACTGCTCCTGTGCTGTGATTGCTTCCATTTCCAGAAGGAAAAAACACACGACAAAAATTTAATCCCCAACACCAGAAGTCTTTCTTGGAGATTAAGCGCATTGTTGTACCTCATTTAGAGGTGGAGAATATTACTGGTAATATCAGTATTAAACCGCTATATAAATGTATATCAGTGGATGCAATAAAAAGACACATATTTAAGGTGTTTAAGATAGGTACACAATGTAAAATTCCAAATTATGGACTCAATTTGGTTATATTTGATTTTGAAACCGATGTGGGTCACCAGAGTGGGACAAATTGTTTGGCAGGTTTTAAATGTGATGTTTTTATTTATTTAAATTAAATTATTGTTGTGAATGTGTGTCAAGTTTTTCATTTAAAATTTTATTATTATGATATTTGTTGTACGATAGTTTTGGTAAGGGTAAACAGGTGTTGTTAGTACAACTGTACAGTACTGTGCTATAGTGTTCTTATAAGAGTAAGAACTCTCCAATGTTCCCCTACACAAGAACACTGTAGTGTTTCCACAAGAACACTGTAGTGTTTCCACAAGAACACTGTAGTGTTTCCACAAGAACACTGTAGTGTTTCCACAAGAACACTAGTGTTTCCCCAAGAACACTAGCGTTTCCACAAGAACACTAGTGTTTCCACAAGAACACTGTAGTGTTTCCACAAGAACACTAGTGTTTCCACAAGAACACTAGTGTTTCCACAAGAACACTAGTGTTTCCACAAGAACACTAGTGTTTCCACAAGAACACTAGTGTTTCCACAAGAACACTGTAGTGTTTCCACAAGAACACTAGTGTTTCCACAAGAACACTAGTGTTTCCACAAGAACACTGTACTCAGTTGTTGCACATGTCTAATTCTTCAACTGTTAAGGAATGCCAAATATATCAACTAAATTATTATTGTTGTAATACAGTTACTGATGTTGCATATAAGCATTGCTATGGCATTACGAATAATGATTATTGCAGTTTTTTTATCAATAAGTATCACTTTCATTGTTCATGATAATTATGGTAAACATAGAATTGCAGGAAGCCTATTGGTCCGTTTTTTAGGCAGCTCCTGTTTAGGTCTATATATCACTCCTCCAAGTTGTCAGATATATTTTAAACATTTTATTTGTGTCATTGCTGTTACGTAGTAATTACTTCCATACATCTGTGAAAATTATTCCCGAACTAGTTTTTTTTTTTAATTTAAACTATAACCAATTTAAATCAGAGTTGGTTCAGTGTTGAAATTTTTATTTAAGGCGTTGTTGATATCCTAGTAATTAAGGCTTTTCAGGGGGGGGGGATAGAACCCGCGATCAGAGAGTCTCAAAACTCCAGACCGTCGCGTTAACCACTAGACCAGCTAGCCACAATAAGATTCATCCAACTAGGTGTATTTCTACACCATAGGAAGGTTAGCATAGGCACCACTGTGACCACAAATGCAAGTT